TACACAAATAAAAATTGTTTTGAATGAATATATATATATATAAAATTGTATTTTAAAATTTCTGCTTTTTTTGTTACGTGTGGGTGTAATATTTATAACGTGTGGGTGTATCAGTCATTGAAATAACTGTTTTTAAAGAAAATCTATTTATTGATTCTTCATATGCTAACTTAAATAAAATTTTAAAAACTAAATAGAAAAAATCTTAATATTTTATTTTAAAAACATACTGAACTCAGTGAGTCATCATCAGATTATTTAATTTATATTTAACTCTCAATTTAATTAGTCAAAATGAATTTCATTTGAATCTGTATTACATAAAATATGTTCTTAATCTTGAAGATGTGATTTTCATGATAAAATCTAAAAAAACTATATTAATAGTGTTACTGGTAAATTTAGATTAATTTCTTAATCGTGATATGTTGCTCTAATCTTAATTTAAATAAATTAGAAATATGACTGCATCATCATCATATTAAACCTTTTCTTCAACTATTAGAATTTATGATTTCAATTTTTCAGCATAAAGATAATTAAGAAAACAGATCATAATAGAAATATGAAAAAGCAGAATTTATAAACTCATAACTGAGTATTTTACACTTATAAATTAATATACAGTATTTAATTTAAAACAAAAAGAAAACTTATATTTTATATAAAACAAATATTTTTGGAATTTAGTTTTAATTGTCTCACATCAAATAATATATCTGTTGACTTACTTTCTGGTTTATTATGAACTATCAAAACATTGAGTAAAAAAATTTCAAAAAAGGTGATAATGAAACTAAATTGTTGATTGATAAACATTGTAATCACATATAAATGTCATTCAAGTCTTGAAAATTTTTGACCCAGAGAAATTGGAAACTTATTAATATCAGAAATGTTCCAGATGCTAATTTCAGATAAATATGTTCAGATTATAATTCATGGATTACTTTAAACCTTTCAGCATCAGAAAAATGAAATGATCTCTTTTCACTTGGCATGTTTGAAGAAGTGAGGTCATTTTTTTTGCTACATCTTATTGATCCAGTTATAAACAAAGCATTAGTCTACTCTGATTGGCTACTGTTACAACCAGATTCCAAGCAATATGACACAAGTATCATAATTACACCATTGCCAATTTTTCTGTTCTAATAATTGTATTTGTATCTTAATATGATAATTACTTAAAATATAATCAAATTTTTATTGCTAAGATTTTTGTAAACATTTTATGAAATCATTTAATAAAATAAGGAAATACATATTGTGTAGGTCACATTTAAATATCTAATACAGATACATACTGATTTAAGGTGTGTTCCTAGTAAAGCAGCTTTAATATGGTTAGATAAGCAAGCCAATGACAGTCAGTTTCAAATGAAAAGGACTATGTCATTGATTTGCTTATCTGTATTATAAAGCCACTATACTAAGTGCCCTTAGATGATTGGTTGAACACAGAAAATTATTATACTTACTACTGATCACCACTATAAATGTCCAATTGTTTAAACAACTTATGACTAACCAATAAAATATGATAAAATTCTTACAATTACAGTAGAGCGTCGATTTTCCGAAAATCAATCATCTGAAAGAATTCCAGTCGGCAAATTTAAATTTTCACCAGTGCTGTGGCGCTTCAATCTTTGGCTATGTCTTGGGCTACTCAAATATTTTACGTTTTTGATACTAANAAAATCTTCTTTCTTCAGGATTCCTTTTTCTATGTGAAGTTTTTTGCATTTGTCTAAGCCAAACTCCATTTGTATGTCCTTAGTGTATGAGTGTGTGATTTGTAGGAGTTGATGAAGTTGTTTCTGTGTGGATGCATAAAGTTTTATGTCATCCATGTACATGAGTTATTATTATTATTATTATTATTAAGAGTTGTTTTAAGAAGAGCCTATTGTAATTTTTCTCTTACTTTCCAATGTTTGAAATTGTCCTCATGCATGCTCAGAACATTTCTTTGCCAACTTCAATCTGACAAATTATATCTACTTTTTGTGTTAAATCTAAAGGTTTTTGTTTTCTTTTATGATTCCTTGCTTTACTTTGACAAGTCTTGGATTTGTTGTATAATCATAGAGAAAATGAAACCAAATTGAACAAAAATAATTAATCAGAACATGCACTAAATGAAATGTAAAAATTTATGCCAGAAAAAATGAATTTTATATTAATTTTTTTGCAAATAAAGTAAATAAAACAATGATTGTGATGAAATAACAGTGACTAAAAAGTCCATAATAAAGAAAGGACAATGGTCTGAGGGGGTCTGAAAAATAATCCATAGTAGCAGGAGTCCATTACAGCTAATGAGTGTTCTTATAATTTTCCTGTACTTTCAGCCAGACCAACAACAGCCATCTGTAATAACATGAGGTCCATTATATCAGGGTCTGTAATATCAAACTTTTATACTGTATTTGAAAAAAGATGATTAGAACAAAAAAAATTTTTCATTTATGACATTTGGTTATAGGTAGATAACTATATATACTATATATCACATCTAAAATATGGTGTACCGTTTGAGCATAATCTTTTGAAATGTTGGCATAAAATTTTCCATATTTGAAAGAAATTATTACAAATTTTTTACCAAAAAAAAAAAGAAGTTTAAACTTATAATATTTTTCCTTCATTAAACTTCATTATTAACAATCTAAATATATTTTGTAATGTTATAAACAGCAGTTTTTACTAGTTTTATTACATAAGTGTTTTTTATGTAATAAAAATAATGAAAATTGATGTTTTTCCTTGCAAAAAACATCAATTTCTATTACATAAAAACACTTATGTCAAAGTCCATCTTGAGTATACAGTAGAGCGTCGTTTATCCAAATCAATTGGGGACTGGGGTTATTCGGATAACTTATTTTTCGGAAAACCGATTATGTACAAAAAAATATATTAACCTATCCCATGTTGAAATTTTTCTCCGTTGCATGTCGCTTCGTGTTGAATTTTCGTCGATGTTAAGCCTAACATATTTAACTTTTTAAAATAATAATTGTGGCTATTGTATCATTAAAAATTATTTCTTTATTTTGTACAAACAAAATAAATATATTGAAAGATATAAAAACAAAAAAAAATTATACTTCAGAAGTTAATCTAGTATCAAAAACGTTTGATTCAGCACGACACAGTCCTCAGAAAAACACCATACAAAAGTGTCAGTACTGCCAGCTAAAACACACACACCAACAAAAAAAATATTGGAGTAGCCTAAGACATAGCCAAAGATTGCAGTGCCACAGCACTAGCGAAAATTTAAATTTGCCAACTGGAATTCTTTCAGATAACCGACTTTCGCTCTACTGTATATGAATATCTAGACCCACTGTACTCAACCTTTTTTTCTCTCAGGCCACATACACATGATAGCTATTACACCGGGCTATGTCATAACAATTATAATAAAAAACTTACTTAATTTCTCACTTACCCTAGAAATTTAGTGTGACTGTTGATATTGCGAACATTTTTTCACAATTTCATTTAAATTTTTTTTTTTTTAAATACTCTTTCTGCCCTGTGGGCACTAAGGGGGCCTCTTGTAGCAGGCATCATTATGGGCCTGGGTTCGACCACACTGGGTGCGACCGGGTGGTGAGGGACTGGGCCCGACATATCCAAACGGACCACTCCCCGAAAAATTCCTGAGGGATTCCCTGACCCGACCGGATTCGATCCAGAGCAGTAGGCTGCCACCTTGACCGCTCGGCTGTCAATTCATTTAAATCAGGTTTGTAACTGCTGCGTGCTACTCATAAAACGGCATCCAGGTGTGAATCAGTAAGCCAGTTTCTATATATGTTCTTTGCATATTTCATTTTTGAGTATGACGTTTCACATAGATACGTTGATGCGAAGAATGTAAGTAAAACTTGAGCACATTTTTTACAGTCTTATATTGATCGGGCACTACTTTCCAGAAGTCGACATAATTATTTTCCGCTCTCTTTTACGTTTGAATACAAAACTTTCGAAAGTTTTGTATTCAATTGTAGAACAGTAATGTCTTGAGGATGGCCTATTAGAAGTAGGCTGAAAACGTTTGAACAGTAAATTAATAATAATCTCAGCAAATTGTTTGCTGTTTGATTATATTTGTAAGTAAATTGCTGAGGAGGTGAGAATAGTTGTAAATGATTTTCAAATGAAACAAAATGAGGAGGAGATGGTATTCTCAATTTAAGTGTGGAGTAGTTAAATATGGGTGGTTAAACAAATCTTTAAAAACAAAATTTAGCTTTTATATATGAACATGTTAATTCTGTACTGACTTTACTTCAATGTGTAACTAACTAACTTGAATCATTTATAAATCTTCTGAATTTAAGTGTATCAAGAAAAATGAATTAAGTATAGTTGTACCTAATGTTTTATAATATAATTAATTAATGATTATTAAGTATTTTACCAATTTAATTAATTAATTTTTTTAATAGTGTATTGTAATTTTGTACTTAGGATTGAAAATTTTTAAAAAGACATTCTGATGCTAAAGCATTTGGAAATGTTTACTGCTAAGTTACAAAAGTAGAAGTTATAATCAACATTGTTTAACAAGTATCAAGCTTTAAAACTTTAGCATAAAACAACTATATTAATGAATTTATGTTTGGTTTAATTGAATTTTACCTTTTCAAAGCAGATTTCTTGATTTATATTGAAACCAGATCATTGAGTAAATATAAATAGCTTTACAGCCTAGCAGTAGTAGTTATTCTTATACTTAAAATACTTTTTTGAAAACAGCTTTTCATGTAAAAATATCAGTCAGTGAAATGTAACAATTATCAAGAAACTTGTCTACAAAAAAAAAGTGGAACTATTCAATTAGTAATTAATATTCCCTTTTTTCTTAGGAAACCAGCAAATTTATACTCCATAATGGAGACGACATAATAAATTTTTAATATAACACTATTCATTAATAAATATAAAATTTTTGATTTTATTTTATTATTATTTTTTAGGATAGTGATGATTGGAAAGATATAGAAGAAGAAAAAGAAAAGGATTATTCTGGTCTAAAAGTACAGTCAATGTGTATTAGGTAAGCATTTTGTTTCATTATTATAAAACACTAGCAATGTGTGTCCAGCATTGCTTGGATTTTTGAGAGGGTAGAGAATTGATTGTGATTTTTTTAAAAAATTGTCCTAGTAACTAAAATGTGCATTCATTGACCTGAGTATTTATAATAATGAAACTGTAAAAAGCAAAAAATTACTCAGTCTTGTGGGACAAAGATAAAAGATCATTCTTGTTCTGGCATAACTTTGGTTATTCAGATTTTGCAAAGCCATTATTGGTGATCCAACCTACAGCTCTAGGTTATGAGGTGGTAGTCCAGCTGGTTCCAAGGAGTTTAAAAATTCCATTGGATACCTTTAGCAATGCATTTGTTTTATTTGCCAATATTGTTCTCTCATATATCCATTTGTGGTTTATATAGCAACTGTTATCAAATTAGTATCAGGATCTTCAGTGAATTCACCATCATCATGAGGTAAAAGTTGTTTTTAGCAAAATTCTCTGCAAATCCGTCTCCCAATAGATAGACCCTCATCTAAAGGGACAAGTTTTTATTGTCATTCTAAGATGATGCCTTTAGTCAAGCATTAAACTACTCAGCAGATATTGGCAAGCAAACTAACAATTTATTACCGACAATCCAACAACAATTAGCATTTATTATTTTTACCAACAGATGGCACTAGATGTAAAGGATGTAGAATCTATACACTACACCAATATTTTGGGGTAATATATAGCTTAGTGTTGATTCTAGGGTCTAAATAATACTCATACAAACTTTGGTCCAGATCTGTTTAAGAATAAAGATTTGTATAAAGGCCAAACCAGTAAGAATTGATTTTTATACATGTAGATTTTTTGTTTAATTTACATTTGAAGACAATCAAATGTAAATTAAAAGACAAACTCTTCAAGAATGAGCTTTCTTTTTTTTTTATCATTTATCAAAACTTTACTATAATATTTAATTTAGTATGTAATATTGAATGTGTTTGTACATTTATTTGTGTGTGTGTGTAGAGAGAAAACAAAAAACCATTTTAATAATTATTTTTATTAATGAGAGTTAATGCATTGTAATATTTCATAATAAAATATTTGAAAGTGAAATTTTAAGAAAAGTAGAGAGAGATTTAGCATAAAAATGAGTTTTGTTACCTACCTCTAACACAGTTGATTCAAATCTGAGCAATTGTGTTAAGCAGGGGTGCTTCTCATATGACTAAGAATACTGAAAACTTTCCACATTTTAGTAAAGTGTATTTAGGTCACAAAAAATGTAATATTTCCATCAAACTATTCTTGTTTTCACAGGAAAAGTGAATTAGATGTTTTTATTCCTCTAATCAATAATTAAATTTATTTTTAAAAAATGAACTCAATTGTATGAATTTGAAATTTTGATATGTAATACCCTTTTTACTTTCCTGGCTGTTATGTATATAACACAGGAAAGTATTGTAATTGTATCAAATTTGGGTTTTTTGCAAATCCTGATGTTTTGTCCCCTGAACCCAAAAATTTTAAAAAGGAGGATAATTTCTACAAGTTTGTATGTGTTGGTGGTATAGGAATAAAGATTAAGAAACAAAATTTGGCATGGTATTTGTACAGGATATAAGGGGAATTGATGCTATTAAATTTTGATGGTTAAAGGCTAAGGAGGTCAAGTCATATCTAGAGTGGGGTTGGAGTTAATAAAAATTTTACTCATTATAGGCATTTACAATATTTTTAAAAAACTTATCTTTATTTTCAAAATTTAGCCTTTTTTACTTTGTATAATAATTAATAATATAAATTATTTTTTAAAACTGTGTATGGCACCATCTAAATTATTATTTAGATGTATGGCACCATCTAAATTATTATTTAGATGGTGCCATCTAAATTATTATTTAGATGGTGCCATACACAGTTTTAACTTTGTGCTATGTATATTAGTGTTTCTTAAACATAAAAAAAATTCAGTAACATGTTGCATAACTTTCCTGGCTACTTATCACTCATCAGCCTCGGAGTCTAGTTTCATCCAAATCCCTGATTCATGACCTTTCCTTGTTAGTCAATTTATGCTATTTTACACAATTTCACTATTATGATGTATGTATTGTGAAATAACTACAATAATTAATGAAATCAGTTTTCCTTAATTGAGAAAAAATAGTGTGTTTTTTTCCTTGATTTAACTCTTCTCCCAACTGGCTCTACAGGTTTTAGTGCTTCAGTTTGAAAATGCCCAAGGCTAATATTAGTCACTGAAGGACACATTATTTTATAACTTTGTAAAATATTCAATTTTTATTGTACAGCTATGGAAAAAATCCTGTTTACACATTTCTTTGTTAGTTTCTGATTACTGTAGAGCATTGATTATCCAAAAAAATTTGGGACTGGATTGTTTGGATAACCGATCATTTACGAAAAAATATATTAAACACAAAACTGTACTGTACATATTTTGTATCACACGTTTTATAAATACATATCTTACATAAAGTAGTACATTAAAGTAAACCTACAGGTTAGGTTGGCGGGGGGAGAATGCTGCAGCGCCAAAGCACTAGCGGAAATTTGAATTTGCCAACTGGAACACTTTCAGTTAACCGATGTTTCGGTTGACCGGTATTCAGATAATTGATGCTCTACTGTATATAGTTTTTGTTTGTGGATGTTAAAAATTAGTTTTTTTTTATCATCTACTGTTTTTGTTTGTAATATCTTACTACACTTTGACAACAGATAAAATAATTTGTTTTTATTCATTTAACTTTTTCAATGAGCTAGCTTGATGAAAAAGTTTGTCCTTTACATTTTGATATAAGATTTATATATATTGATGTATTTAATGAGGAGCAATTGTTATTTATATCAAAAAGTTAATGTTTATGTTTTTCATGTTTTTACGTAATTTTACTTGTCTAAAATTAACCGAAATTTTAATTAATAATTATCATAATCCTATAAAAAAGGGTTGATCTTTTGTATAAAATGCTTTTTTTCATAATAAACATAAAAACTTATTATCAAACATCCTTACTACACCCAATATATTTAAAGCTATACATCAAGCAAAGCCGAATATTATTGGGCTAGAAACAGTTATAATACTAATAATTTAATAGACAATTTGGCATTAGAGTTAGGCATTAGGCATCATCTCTCGATAAATTTAATAATTATACTGGAGACGCATTATTAATTTAATAATTATGCTGGGGACACATTCATCACCCACGATGAATGCATCCCCAGCTTGCATTGTAATAACTGTCAATGATTATATTGTTGACTTACACAGGGTGTATCAGAATGACTTTTTAAAATTTGGGGGATTGTAAAGGATGAAATTTTGAACATTTTGATATAAGGAACCTATAGCCGGAAATGTGATATAACGTTTCTACAGCACTTTACACGTTCTATGCGGTCAGTATACTGAATGAAACAGTATTTATTGACGAAACAGTAGAGTACAATCAAACTGTACTGTAAATCGAATCATTAGTTGCACTACTATAGAATAAGTGTTCAATGTGATGACCACCAACTTTAACTCATGTTGACTAGCTGCGTGTTTACAGCACAGTGCCAGTGGATGCAAGTGGTGACTTGACGGATGACAAGAACTAAGTACACAACGTTCTGTACACAGGATTAGTTAGACCACTGTAGTTGTGTGATTACAGTCTTTTATCTGCAGCAATAATGTGATGTCAATGGACGGAAGGGTAGCTACCAAAGTGTGGTGCAGTCAAACACTTCCTACCACTGTAGACACTTTAGTTCAAATTTCCGGCTATAGGTTTCTTATATCAAAATGTTCAAAATTTCATCCTCTACAATCCCCCAAATTTTTAAAACGTCATTCTGATACACCCTGTATGTGCTGGAAGAGGCAGTCAGACCGAAAGTCCGGGTAGCGTAATTGGCAATGCATCTGCATGGTAAGCAGGAGTTGCGGGCTCAAGTCCTGCTTTGGGCCAATTCTTTTCTTTCAGTAATTCTAAAATTATTATTTAAATTATTTAATTTACAGTCGACCCCCCTATAAGATAGAGATACGTTCCATTCTCTAGGAATCCGCTTTCTTACGAATCCTTCCAATCACAACCCGACACGTATCAAGTTTACGGACTACGGCTGTTTGAAAGATTTTCTTCCATAAAATTAATCGATTCTAGACTAATCCGACTCAACATTTCCAAAATACGTATATATTTTTTGGGAATAATCCGTATAAACTACGCTATAAACAAAAAATTGTAGGATTACTTACCGAGTGTCACCATTCGACATT